AACATTACCATTAATTAACAATACATACATATACTGATGTAATTCAGATATGGTCAGCACTGAAATCACACACCTTTTTAAAAGGATGAGATGCTGGCACAGTTATTGTTTCCTCTGAATTTAATTAATTTTAGCAATAATTAAAGTTCAGGAAGAATATATTTAGCTGATTATCAGCTATATTCACAAATAATTTTGACAACTTTCCAAATATTTGCACACAGATATTGCAACAGTTTTTTTTCTGTTATATACATCTTGAAGGTTTGCAGAAAACATTGCTGTTTTATCAGAAACTATAGCACAAATATTTTATGAGTAAATCTATTTCTCTGTGTAACAACATAAATCTGTTTTAATATCTGCAGAATAAGCACGTGTCTGGATGCGTGTACGTGTTGTATGTGTTGTTTTTATATGTATATATGCTTGTATCTTCTGAATAATTAGGATTGTCTGACAGGCATTCAGACTAAAAAGCGAATCTGCTAAATGTTCATTTGTGTACTTACGGTATATAAGTGCATGTCCTGTATTAAGATTGATTTGAGTTCTTATTGATATTTATTGTTAATTAAACAAGTGATCATTGAGTGTGATGTGCAAGTAATATCCATTTGGAGAAAAATAAGATATACTTGAGTTGATGTTTCTTCTCTCAAGCAGTTTATTATGAATAGATCACCTTTCTTGTGTATACTTTTTATACGTTGGTGGTTCAAAAAGTTAATAAAGAAGTTTGTTATCTACTTTTCTTTTCATTTTGTATACCTTTTTGACATAAGTAAATGAAAGGAGGAAAATGTTTGAGATGTTTCTTTTAGTCTGTTGTAAGTTATTTTGATTAACCTCTGCTGTTTATAGGTTATATAACTATGTCACTGAATATGTTCTGTGTAATGATATGTATGCATTCCCTGTATTGATTACTGATTTATAATTAATGTTTAATTAGCCCATTGCAGACAGGATGTAGCGCGTGGCAAGCGGCAGCATGAATAGGAATATTTTTTTTATGTTAGGCTTTCATGATAAGGACTTTGTCAGATTGAGAGCCTCACGCATTTCCTTTTAACAGAACTGTTGAAAGAGAAATGATGTCACAGTTTATTTTTTTATTCAACCACAAAAACATAAAACTATACACTTATATACATGGAGACTGGTAGCACCATTTCGTTCCTTCTCCATATGTGAGTTGTTAAAAAGCTGCCAAACTGGTATAATGACACATTGCAGAACTCGCAGATAACCTTAGTTACATTTGCCACTTTAGCAAGCGGTACAGGCAGCAGTCCCTGTACTTTTTAAATTGAACCTGCTGGTATTGATTCTGCGACAAAGGTTCATTGGTCGGCATTGGCACTGAATTTAGATGATATATGACACAACCTTGGGTCTGATCTTCTCAAACCCATGATAGTA